TGATGTATAACAAGTGATTGCGAAGGCCATGGCCTGTATCAGATGCACCTTAGTCTCCAGAGAGACACCATTGCTCTTCAGTACTTTGGAGAGGTCGCTAACAGCAGACTTTCCCATGGCAATGCGCCTTTTAATTTCCTGACTGCTGGTTTTTTCTGTAATTTCATCTTTACTGTCATGGTTTAATGCCTCAAAATGACATTTCCCATATTCCTTTGTATATAGATAGATTTGCCAAATGGGAGTTTTCATTAAATAATTGTTGTTGTTACTGTTGGGTGTTGTCAAGTTGGCTCCAATATGAAATTAGAAGGCAGGAAGAAAGCGGAAGCATGGTAGCAGCTTCAGTAAAGATTTCTGAGGTTTCCGAATTACCAACTCCTAGCTTTCTGCTCATCACTAATACCGGTAGTTCCAGCAATGTCAGCAACTGTTGCTTTTGTTGTTAGGTTCTGTCATGTCAGCTGTGTCTCAAAGCGACCTTATGGACAACAGAACAAAATCCTGCCTGATCCTGAATAATCCTCACAATTTCTGCTGGGCTTACACCCACTGTTGCAGCTACTGTATTAATCCATCTTGTTGAGGATCTTAACCTTCTTCTCTGACTCTATTTTTCCAAGCATGATGTCCTTCCCCAAAGTAATCTGTATCTGACCACTCCTGAAAATCTGTCCAGAGTATGTGAGACAAGTCTCACAATAGCTTCTTCCAAGACAAGCTTGTTTGTCCTTTTGGCAGTCTACAGGATGTTCAATACTCTTTGACAACACCATAATTCACTGTCATAAAGTCTTTGATCTTCCTTATTCATTATCTAACTTTCACATGCATATGAAGCAACTGAAAATACTATGGCTTGGGTGAAGCCCATTTTGGTCTTCAATGTGATATCCTTGCTCTTTAACACTTTCAAGAGGTCCTTGGTAAGCAGACTTAGTCAACGAAATGCATTGTTTGATTTCTTGGCTGGTACTTTCATGAGTATTGACTGTGGATCCAACAAAAATGAAATCATTGACAGCTTCAATATTTTCTCCAATAAGCAACATTAGGGAGCTGTGTTGCAATCCTGAAGGTATGCTGTTCGAGGCCACAAGATGCTCTGAGGGAGAAGGATGGGCAATCTCATCCTTGTATTTAACTGCCTCTGAAAACCTATTGGAGGGTCAGCTATGGGTCGGTTCTGACTCTATGATACATAACAAAAACAACAAGAAACAACATTATGATAAATGGAGATGACAGCAGCAGGCATGGGCTTTATTGGGCTTTAGTAATATCACCAACACTTTTACACTTTTTTTTTTCACTGCATCAGAGATTTTACTACTAGGTATTACTGATTTCTGTCTCTCTCCAAACCCAACAGCATCTTCCTACAGGATCAAAGCTTCTTTTCAAGGGAGCTCTGGTGGCCTAGCGGCAAGAAGCTGCACTGCAATCCCAGAGGTGCATGGTTCAAACCCACCAGATGCTCTGCTGAAGAAGGAGGGGCAATCTCCTCCTGTACCAGTCAGATCTGATTTGACGGTACACGCACAAAAATTAATTTAAAAAAAAGCGCTTCTTTTCACATTTACAATCCTTGATAGAGACAGACTACCTGGTAAATACATTAAACATGGCTAAAACGTGTGTCTATTTACCTATGTCTATTAATCTGAGGTCAACAGTTTCACATGATTGCTATAGATTAGTATATAAACACAAGTAAACTCATGCTTGCCTTACTAATTGGGAAATTGGGTTCCATATCCTAAGGTAGATTCTTAAGCTTCTGTTTGTATCAGAATCGCTTGCAAGACTAGTTAAAATGAAGATTACTGGGTCCAATATCCAAATTTTCTAGTTTTGTAGGTTTGGAGTAAGGCCTGAGAATTTGCATTTCTAACAAGTTCCCAAGAAGTGAGGTTAATGTTTCAAGTTTGGAGACAACACTCTAAGAGCCAGTGCTCTAAAACAATGGGGTTCAATCTTAACTACCTATACAATCGCTAGCTTCTGCTTACCTCATCTGATCTGGCTTCCCTAGATTTTGAATCAGAATTCTCTAAGGTAGGGCCACTATGGCTATTTTATTAATTAGTCAACATCCATATGAGATTCTTGCACACATAAAAACTTGATAAATACTGCCTTAAATAAATGGCTTTCAAGCTTGAACTCATTTGAATTCCCTGGAGATCTTACTAAAACACAGAGCTGCTTCCAGCCCTAGAGTTTCAGATTCAGCAGGTTTAGAATGGGACAGAGAATCTGCATTTCTAACAAGTTCCCAAGTGGTGATGGTGATGATGATGATCCAGGGCCCACACTGTGAGACCATCTGCCCAAAAAACCCAGAGTTGGATGGCATACCCAAGTCCCTTCCAACTGAGTAAACTGAGTGCTGATCACCAGCATCATCAGTGAAAGGACTACTACAGCCCGCCTGAAAAATAGAACTAAAATAAAGCACAAATGTCCCTCTACAGGACTGAACCTGCAAACACCACTCAGTCTGCCCAGTGCTACAGGACAGACCCTGAGCTCGAAATACAGGTGTGAGTCAATCGCTACCAGATTCCAGTTGCCTCAACAATATGACAAAGTTGGAACAGCACCCATTGTGAAGTCAGTTCTTAGGTCAAAGCTGAAGGTTAACTCCAGGGCTGAGTCAGAGAACTAGGGATAAAGAGAGCTACCACAAGTGAAGCTGAGAGCTTCATAGAGGGGATGAATGTTCAATCCAAAATAACTCCTGAAATCTTCTTAAAATCAAGCAATGGTGGTGGTGGGTATCTCTAGTCAGTTTTGATTCCTAGAGAGCATGTATGATGGAAAGAGGTACCACCATAGAGTTTTCTTGACTGTGACTTTTACAGAAGAAGTGTCCATGCATTTCTCCCACAGAGCCAGTGCATGTCAAACTCAAATTTCTGGTTAGCAGCTGAGCATTTAAAGCATAAAAACTGGCTGGTTGAGCATTGTGCTTGTTAGAAGAACTATTTATAGGGGATCAAACTGACAACAGTAGCTGGCAAGGTTAGAGCAGAAACTCAGGGGTGGTGAGTTCAAGTTCATGAGGGGGAACCATCTCTGAAAAGGAGGTGCGAATGGTTACACAACATGAAGGACACAATCAACATCCCTGAATTGTCCACTTCTGAGTTGCTGAATTGGAATATGTTTTGATGTGCATCTTTTCACTGATAACAAAATAATGGAAAAACAAATGAATACATTTTTAAAACTGAGAAAAATAAGCCACTATGTGAATGCCCCTTGCTTCTCTCAAAGCATAAGGCTGAAGCGCACTCTTACCCACACAGGAGGCTGGTCTCCCACTCCAGGCCTTGTTGTCCATGCATGTCACTGTCCGCTCTCCTTTCAGTGTGTACCCGGGAGAGCAGTAGTACTCACACCGGGAGTTAAAGTAGGCACCATCTACACATTTAAACCCTCCATTTGCTGGCATGGCAAGGGTAGGACATCGCTTTTCTGAAAAAAGAGAAAACTTGAAAGTTGGCATTTCTCAGTTTTTGTCGAGAGATCTGTCCCTTAATGCTCAGAATCATAAAGTATATGGTAACAAATAGAATAGATGGAATTAGAGGTGGTTTGTTGTCACACAAGAAAGGACACATCAGACCAGCAGTTTGTCTAGTCAAGTAAGGCCATGGCCCAAAGTGAGATTTACCAGAAACAGATGCTGAGATGAGGGACTGTGTGCAAGTGACTAATGAAGAAAGTGTTCCTGGGGAAGAGTAGCAGGGGAGTGGGGGAGTAGGGAAGGAAAGGGAGAAGTCTCAGCCTGATCCTGCAGATGAGCTCTAGAGCAAGCAAGCTGGGCTTTCCTATTCCTTCACTAGTCAGCTCCAGGATGCCCACAGAGGCTGCTCTCCCTTGTAAGAGCAGAGAAGAGGCCTCTGAAAGAGTGGTGCATCTTCTTCCAATGAAGATGGGAAAAGGTGCAAGTCTTTGGGAACAAAAGTCCTTGGGAAGCACTCAGAACTGGTAAAAGAGGATTCAAGGAGAGCTGAGCCAAGCACTGATAGAGCTCACTACAGGACCTCCGACCCCAGTTGTTTGGTGCACACACCGTATGACTGTATTCCAGAGCTGCAGTTTCCTGATCAAACCCACTGCTTTCAAGGCCATTCTGACTCATGGTGACCCTATATAGAACTGAGTAGAACTGTTCATAGGGCTTCCAAGGCACATCTTCATCCACAGACTGGCTAGTGTGTTTGAACTGTCGACCTTTTGGTTAGCAGCTGAGTGCTACTACCACTGTACTACCAGGGCTCCCCAGTTTCCTGACCAAGAAATAGATAGTAATGATGCCCAAAGTTAATACATATGCTCAATAAATGGTTATTATTTTGAATGACAATAGCATCTAAAATGTGCTTCTAAAATGGTGTACCACTTGTACATATCCCAAGGGGAATATGTTTCTAGAAGACTATAGTCAGTTGCTGAAGAACTTCTGCCTTCAGAAACACTCCACTCATAAAATAAGCACCTCTTTGCTCTTTCTCTGCTGCTTTAAGCTTTCCCATCGGGAAATTCATTCATTCATATTCTATCTCTCCTCCCTCTCCTCTCCCTCTCCTTGTCCCTCTCTTTCTTTCTCTCCCTTGCTCTCCCTATCCCCCCTCCCCTCCCCTCCCACACCCATGAGCCCATGACTTTGCTCCATTCTCATACATATTTCACAGGAAACACATCCATCAAGCTGATTCTGGTGTTACATTGTGAGATCTCTAACAGTAGGATCTGTATCTTACAATTTAAAATCCCCAGTACCTCCTCAGAAGGAGACTTGGTAGGATAGTATGTTACCTATCAGGCTGCTAACCTAACCTGGTGGATGATTCAAATCCATCAACTGCTCCATGGGAGACAGATGTGCCAGCAATTAGTGAACAAACATAACCTGTTTCTTGAACAAAGCTCTATTCTTTTCCAAACATTTGACCACACCTTTTTCTCTGAAAGGTGCCATCCCACCTCCACTCTGTCTTAGAAATCCTCTCTCACTCTCAAGGGGAGTTTTTCTCATCAAAGGGCATAACACATTTAATAGAAACCCTGTTCTCACAGCAGAAGGATATTGACCCTGAAAGCTCTGAAGTACTCACGCTTACAGATGACCTTGTCAGACCACCGCTTGTTTGACTGGCAGATGAGTTGAGAAGAGCCCTGCAGCTCATAGCCCTTCTGGCAGCGAATGTCACACCTGGCTCCCAGCGCTGTTTTGTAGTATCCTCCTTGAGGGGCCCTGCAGTACACATCCCCATATTTCACCTTGATGGGGGAACACCACAGGGTGTCTGCAGGTAGGTAGCAGGAACAAGAGAAAGGAGAAATATGAAGTGACATCTTCAGAAAAGGTGCTCTTTGTACTCAGAGTCCCTGGTTGATGACATCCCAAAGTTTAATCTCTATATAGGATCCCATGTCTTTTTCTTTCTTTTCTTTTCATTTTCTACTTTATTTACAAAATTTGAATACATTGTTTTTAAGAACAAATCCTTTCCATTTCCCTCACCCTGCCTCCATCAAATTGATTACAACCACCCCACCCACCCACACAACCCCATCCCTCTGCTTCCACTCTCTCCCACCCTTCTGGGATCTTTATACTCATTCTACAATAATGGTTTTATATAATATTTATCCTTGTGGGACTGAGATAGTTCACTCATCATAATGCTTTCCAGTCCTTCCCAAGTTAGGTAATAATTTACAAAATAATTGCTCCTGCATGCTGCATAGTATTCAACTGTGTGAATGTACTGCAATTTCTCCTGGGCACCTCGACAGTGGCAAGAAGCCACTTCCAGAAAGGAACAATAGGATCCCATGTCTTTTAGTGCATCTCTGGGTGACACTAATCAGACTGCCTGAATCAGGATCAAGGCTTCTCCAATACTAATTGTGTGACCTTGGGCAAGTTAACCTTTCTGAGTCAATACCTAGGTACTTATGCCATAGCACTGTCACAACAAAGAGTTCTGGTGGCATAGTCCATCACAATTTGCACTGCTAACCCAAACACTACACCAACATGGCAGTTCAAATCCACCAGCCAGTCTGAGGGAGAAAGATGCAATTTTCCCCTGTGCCGTATGCTACAAGGACTTAAAAATAATAATACATATAATTCTCCTACTGCAGTGTCTGACACATAGTTAATGCTCAATAAATGATTTTCTTTTTAATATCTCCCTTAACTAGATAATTCTCTGGAGGACAATTAAAACCTTTATGAACTCCTAGAACGATCATCCATCATCTGCAGACAGTGCAGAGGGGTGGGGGGATTGTCAGTAACCGGCTTGATAAACTTCTCTCTGGATCTGTTAACACTGTTGTTCATTAATTTGAATGAAGCTATAATTTCCAGGTTTCTGCAACTAGGTATTGTTTTGGTTTACACTTTGAGAACATCTTCCCTGTGTCTTTGGAAGGCATTCTTTGAGATCCTTGGAAACGTAAGGACACTGATTTCTCAAATCAGTAGGGCCAGCAACCACTCCCTCAAGTCTGTGGGTACTTGATTTCAAGAACACTAATCACTTCTCTCTGATGGCCTTCCTTCCTCATCTTCCCAGTCCAACACCTGAGTTGTCAGTAGGTGACCAAGTATGCCATCATGTGGCCAGGAAATAGGACAGATATAACTGTATTTTCTCAGAAAACGCCTTTGGATGTAATTCTGTTTCTTAGCCAAGAAAACCAACAGTCCCATCCAGGTCTTGTGAATACAAGGCTTTTTACTTCCATGTTCCCTTTGGCTAATGCTGTCATCATCTAGCGTTTTACAGACAGCTGCAGTGGTCCTTAATGCCAAGACTAGCAGTATTTCCTGGACTTTCTAGGTAGAAGTAATGTCCTGAGGGCTTTACTGAAATAAAATAAAAATCCCGTTGCCACTGAGTTCATTCTGACGTACAATGACCCCATGTGCTTCAGAGTAGAATTGCTCTATAGGGTTTTCTAATGGCTATCTTTCAAAAGTAGATCATCTGACCTTTCTTCAAAGGTACTTCTGGTTGGATTTGAACTTCTAACTTCTATAGTTAATCACTGAGCACTTAACTGTTTGTGCCACCCAGGAAGAAGGCTTAATGGAGAGTTGATTACACTTACCCATGTGGATATGAATTCATAGGAGCTCACACTAGGCCTATAGACACCCCAGGAACAAAGTTCTTTCCTTTAAGGGTCTACACATACAGTTTGTATGTGGTAACATTTTTAAATGAGAAAATCCTGAATCTGAGGTGTCAAACAGAATATATATATCTCAACTACTTGTTTGTAATTGCAAAAGGATTATCGACCCAATTTTAAATGATTCTGTTTTGTTGAGATATTTTGTTGTTGTTGTTGTTGTTGTTGTTGTTGTTTTTGTTATGTGCCATCAAGTTGCTTGCGACTCATAGCCCTAAACTCAACAGCCCTAAACTCTGCTCTGTCCTGTGCCAATCGCACTGTCTCTGACATTCCCATCCCGATTATCCCAGTCACTGAATAAATCTACCTCATTAGTTATTTCTTTTAAATGCTTCAGCTCCTGGTCAACATGAAAGTAAAAAAAAAAATTCCAAAAATACAGATAAGTAAGAAACCTTTGGGATATGGTTGCTTAGCACTATAAGCTGTGGATATTTCACTCATTTTCTTCTATAATCAAAAGGTCTTAAGAAAAACCCTAGAGAGAACTGTAGATGGCTACTACGCAAATAAAACAGAATTAGAATTTAGTAGCTCTGTGGCATCTAGAAGGAAAGTAAATTTCTTTCTTTCCCTCTCTTTTTTCTGTTGCCTTCTGGCCTAATCCACAGGAGATGAAGTTAGAATCTACCAGCAGCTTCAAGGGAGAAAAACTGGCAATCTCCTCCTGTGCAATGCATAGCCTTAGAATCCTGCTGGAGGGTCAGCTATGAATTAATTAGGAATCAAAAGCAATGAACGACTCTCCATATGGTAAAGGGAAGATCATCTGTAAAGAAAATGAAAGCACACTTCGGATTTTGAGACTCAGTCTTTGTCCAAGACTTCCATGGTGTTAAATCTGTTTAAAAGGGCTTTTTAAAAAGAATTGTACTTCCAGTAAGTTTATAGATAAAAGTAGTTTTCCATTCCACAGTTTATTCCATGGTTTCAAATCTTACAAAATCATCTGTAGCTTGACTTCTTATCATCTCCTTCTCAATGCTCCCTCAACTCCTTACTACAAAATCTCCATTTCTGCTCCATTCCCCTTCTAGACTTCTTCCTCATTGTTAGCTTTCCTTTTCACTTGTCTCTTAACTGTCCTCTTTTCTACTATCAGCAGCCAAAAGTGAAACCCTTCACTGAGGACTGTGTATACTTTCTAGAGAAAGAAAATGGAATCTCCATTTGAGGCAGGAAGACTGACTTTTGTATACATATATGACAATTTACAAATTTCAATGCAACACACAATCAATAGACATCCTCCCATGATCTGGGTCTTCAAATCCTCCTAGCAATGCTGGTCATGTATCCAAAAGCTGTGTTGTCAGCATGTGGAAAAAACTTGTTTGCATTTACTCACAAAAGCAATTTTCTTTTCAATACTTTCCAAGACAAATTTTTGGAAGATATTTTGACACTTTAATAGTGACAGTAATTAAAATGTCCAAGGATGACTTGAATTTGAAGTGCATGCAAGCACTTCAAGTTAAAGTGAGTGATCAAAATGATTAACAGAGATGTGTTTATCCTGAAATAGGAGAATTCATCACTCAATATTCAGGAATGTCTTTCATGCAACTAGGCCAATGTTGTGAGTACTACATTTAATTGGTGTTCCTAAGAGTGTAAGTAATCTCCTAGATGTGAGTAAAAACACTTGAATTTCTGACCCAAATTTGTTAGCTGTATGACTCTAGGAAAGTAATTGAACCTCTTTGATCCTTGATTCACAAATATTTATAAATAAGGAGTAATGCATTCATATCTATATATCCTTTTCCCTTCTATCCATTAGGGTAAATATTTGATGACAATCTAAGTAAAAGAACCAAAAGCAAAGTTTGACACATATTGGGTATACATGTACCCAATACAATACATGTAGCTACATTAAATTGTCATAATCAATTTTAGCTTCTTTAATTTCTTTTTCTTTTCATTGTGCTGTAAGTGAAAGTTTAAAACTTGGTTTCCATTCAACTTTATATACACTTTCTGTTTTATGACATTAAGTACAATATTCACAATGTAACTGCACTCTTCCCAATACCTCTCTGTGATTCTCATTTCTGTTAATCCTTCTATTCTACACCTTACTGCCTTCTGAAATTTATCCCTGGGCAAATGCTGCCCTTTTGATCTTGTACAGCCAATTTTTCTAAAGCATGAATACTTCTCTGGTATAATTATCCACTTTTATAGGCTTTTCTGTCATTTGGCTGAAAAGTAAGCAATCAGCATGGGTTCAGTTCTAGGCTTGAGGATAAGTAAGGATCTCAGTCTTTGGGTTTTTCCACCAATCTCTATCAAACTAGTATGTCTGGCCATTTTTTGTGGGTCCCCCCCCCATTTCACATATTTTTTCCAATTCTACCAGGACCTTCCATTGTAATCCTTTCAGTAGGGTCAGCAATGATAGTTGGGTACTATCTAGTTTTTCTGGTCTTGGAGCCATGAAGGCTGGGGGTTCGAGAGGTAGGTTGAATAGTCTCTTGGGCTGTTTATACTTTCTTTTTGTTTTCTTCACTCTCCTTCACTCTATATAGGAAGAGCCCAATGAGTGTACCTTGGATGACTGCTCAAAAGCTTTTATGATCTCAGTGGATACTTGCCAAAATAGCAAGTAGAACATTGACTCCTGTTGTGTATTAATTTATGCCAACTGACCTTGATGTCCCCAGAGAGTCCCTTGGTCTAGCAACTAACTGTTCCCCTCAGGGTGTTTATTTATTATTAAGAAGGTCACATAATTTTGACCCCTGTTGGGTCATAGTTACAGTATATATTAATAGGTAATTGGAAATATCATCCACTTTTAGTTCCTTTAAATTAACAACACATAATGAGTGAATACTTCGTGCAAGCCACTACAGGTCCCCAAGGCCCCAGAGTTAAGCCTTCAATTAACAAGGGTTTGCCTCTAAGTTGTGAAATAAGAAAACTGATCATGAACATGATTTCCAGAAAAAAATGATTTCTTCTTATCATTCATTGTAAGCTCTAATACAGGCACAGATTTAGTCATCTCATGTACCTTTTTTGTACTTGAAAATGCTGGGGTATGAGCATGGACACTAAGGAATGAGAGACACCTGGGGATGAGAGACAACACCAGAACACGCTCACTTCACTATGTTTTAGGGAGTTCTGGTGGTAAAAAACTGCATACGCAATCCCAAAGACATGCAGTTAGAACCCACCAACTGCTTCATGGGAGAAGGATGGATAATTTCCTCCCATGTGATTTACTACCTGTGAAAACCCACTGGAGTATCAGCTATGGGTTGGTACCAACTCAATGGCACACAACTACAACCATGTTTTGGGATAAATTTTCAACAAAGGACTCAAAGAGGGGGAAAAAGAGAGATTTAATTTTTTTTTATTAAGAAATGGTACAATGGTTAAATGCTCAGCTGCTAACCAAAAAGTCAGTGGTTCAAGCCCACCTGCTACTCCTTAGAAAATGATGCAGCAGCTTTTTCCAGCAAAGATTTATCATTGCTGTCAGGTGCCATTGAGTATGACTCATAGTGACCCTATGAACAGTTGACCTAAACTCTGTCTGTCCTGTGCCATCCTCATCATCTCTGACACACTATAGCCTATTGCTGAGGTCACTATGCCAATCAATTTTGTTGGGGGTCTTTTTCATCACCGATCTTCCATCCTTTCAAGCATGATGTTCCTTTGCAAGTAATAGCCTCCCTTAGTTACATGTTCAAAGTATGAAAGACAAAGCTTTGTCATCTTTGCTTCCAAGGGAAGCAATATCTGGCTGCACTTTTCCCAAGACATGTCTGTTTGTTCTTTGAGCAGTTCATGGGACATTCAGCACTCTTCCCTAAGGGGGCAGTGCTACTCTGTCGTATAGGGCTGCTATGGAATCATAATTGACTTAATGAGTTTGGTTTAAAGGGTGATACTTTTGTTTATAATTTTAAAAATATTATTAATCAGATCAACTTCTTAACCCAATCCTGAAGCAACTAACATAGACGCTGTGGATAGAACAAGAATTTGCATTCAAAGGTCACAAGCAAATGAAAACTATGGTGGAAAGAAATATCCACAGCCAGAGGTACCAATCACTATATTGTTGTTTTTGTTGTTGTTAGGTGCTGTGGGAGTCGACTCCAACTTGTGTTGCCACCAATACTACCCTGATTCTCCTATTACCCAGGCTTAGCCACAACAGAGTAGGAAAGTGTCTGCCTGCTAAAATGTGGACAACTATACAGGGCCTAATGCCACAATAGAACTTTATTAACTTACCAGTTTAATGCAATTAGCCTTCTGCTGGAAGAGGGACCAGATTTCAAGAGTGAGCATCTAAATTCACCTTCACCTTCTTTAGGGCTCGCTAAGCATCAGAGAAATGACTCACCAGTAGAAGCATTTACAGTCAAACTTACATAGCCTGCAGGAAAGATTCTCCATTGGGTTTTTTAATCTGCTGAGGTCTTAGTGGGGGAGTGCATTGCAGGAAATGTATGGAGTTCTTTAACATAAAATTAAAGATTAACTGAGAAACACACTTTACTCATCTTTTAGAAGCCAAGCTGGTCTCAGAAAGAGCACGATGAAATAAGCCTATGAAAATCAAGTTTTCTCCTTTCCCATTCATCTCAGGACATTAACAGCCCCTGGGTCCAGACTTGACCTTGAATGGTTTATTCTGGATGATCCTGGCCGTAATGTATGAATCAGGCAGAGCGCACGGCTTGATTTTCACTTTCATCAGCTAAGGCTTGGCTTTGCAGAAGTGAGGGCAGAAAAGAAACTTAATGAGAATAAAATGACCATCCAGGTGCTGAAGGACAGCACTCAGAGATTTCCAAATAGGTTTCTTTCTTTCTTTTAATTGGGAGCATATGTGTATTTACTTGAAATTTGGTGGTTTGTTTTGTGGGTTTTTTTTCCTGCGAAGGTAATTACAACTTTAAATGTGTGTCTGGTCACTTTATTACAGTCTGCTCCACACGGCAAAAAGGAAAGTTCTCCTGGCATCAGCGCGTCCTCATTAGCACATAAGCAAAGCATTCACCTTTATATCTAGCGCGTGAATACTCGACTTCATCGTCTTCTAGCGGCGAGTCTCCCGATCCTACAATAAAAAAATACAGAAACTGCAGCAAGGAAAGCCACATGGTATGGGAGCATGATTCACAGCATTGCATTGGCATAGTCCATGCAAGAGGGGCGATTAGAATGCAGAGCCAAGGGAGAAAGCTTCTGTGGCCATTCACTGAGGGACAGGGGATCTCTCAGAGTGAACCCGGCTGGGCCAAGATGGCCAAAGCCAATCCAAATGAGCCCCAAACTGGTTTTGGAATCACCCTGTGCCAAACGAAATTCTGGAAGCTGGATAGAGAGAGTCAACTTCACTCTGAGAAGATGCCAGTGTACATGAATCTCATGCCAGGGGAGACGCAGTAAAATGTGTGTGACTCAAAGGCAACCCACAGTTTCTCCAGCAGTCAAAGAAAACCCAGTAGAGCTGAGTGTTTATGGTGCCTGAAAACCAGGGAATCATATGAAATGAATTTGGGTGGAAAGTAACAAGAGCAAATCAAATATCTTATTTTAATGAAAAAAAGAAATGCAAAGCTGTTTTGGTAAATCTGTAGGAAATGAAGGTTTAAATAGAGCAAGCGGGTTTTTACTAAGAAATTTTCACCAAGACAGGGCTACAATGCATTTTCTGGACAGCTTTAAATCATAGCCTCAGCTAGTCTGTGCTTATTATTTTAAAAGATTTAAACTCATTTGGAAGTTGAGACAGAATCATTCTTAGAGTATTACACAGTGAAGTCCAGTAAATGTTGGATCCTTAACCCCCTCGAAACTGTAGCAGGCCCCAAACTTTAAAATGGCAATATTGAATTCAGAGCATTTGCCTCTTGCAATATTATTGTCTTAGTCACATTGTCACTTACAGAAACTTGCAAGCATACAGAAGAGGCAAGGACTCTCTGCTGGAGACGGAGGGATAATCTCCTTCTGTACCAGTCAGATTCGATTTGATGACATACACAAAAAATTTTAAAAAAAATTTAAAAAAGAGTCAAGGACAGTCTCTACTGAGGTTATTTTAAGCCCCATAGAGGACGAGCAACTGAGTAATAGTCCCTGTTGCACTTATATTTTTTGCAAAAGTGATGCAGAGTGTAGAAACTAAAAGTGAAGATGCAGTAAAGGCTGTGCCATGTCCATTTAGAGAGGAACCACACCAGGGAAGCCAACTCCTGTGTTCATCTTCGTGGGAGATTTCCCCACTTGGTCTCTGGCCACCCAGGCCGATATAAAATTACACATTGCTCATTATTCCATATCAAAAGGTGAACACGAAAACCTGCATTACCCTACAGGAAAGCAATTTAGCAACATGAATCAAAATCTATGTTCAAATCCCTGGATCCAGTCAGTCCAGTTCTGGGAATCTATCCCAAGATACACAGATCCTGCATTAAATACAGGAAACACTATTTTTACACACAAAGATTTCTTTGCAATGCCATTTATAATAGGAAAAGACTATAAGCAATCCAACTCTTCAGTATCATGCTTAAATAAACCATAGTTCAGGCAGTCTCTGAGTTATGAACGTCCAACTTATGGAAAACTTATGCTTTTAACATAATGCATATTTGCTTACAATTTAACACCACGGAAACTTCAAAGCTCAAAAACCGAAACTAATTGCCATGGAGTCTGAACCAATTCAGAGCTGACCCTCCAGTGGATTTCCTAAACCATAAACAACAGGGGAGTAGATTGTCCGTCTTTGGCCTGTAGAGTTGCTAGTAGATTCAAACCGCCAGAGGCTCAGCCTTTGAGTTAGCAGTGCAGCTCCCCATGCTCACAACATATTCTTCATCTGAATCACCTTCACTTGTTGCATATACAGCTGTTAAAACATTTAAAAGGCCTTTTCTTGTAGTAAGTCCATCATTGCCTTCAGAACTGACCCTCTGGTAGATTTTTGGAAACTGTAAATTGCATGAGAGAAGATTGTTCACATTTCTCCCATGGTGCAGGTGGTGGATTCAAGCTGCTAGAGAGTTGTCATCTTTGAATTGGCAATGCAGCTCCCTATGGACTATGCCACCAGTACTCTTCTTAGAGTATTTACCTATATTAGAAATAACTTAGGACCAGATCTCCTGAACAATCAAGTTCTGCCTATACATTCATCACACATAACATAGCATGTTGTTATTGTATACCGTTCAGTAAGAACTGACCCAGACTTGACCCTCCAGTGAGTTTTCAGAGGCTGTAAATCGCAAGGGAAGAAATTGCCCATCTTTCTCCCATGGAGCAGCTGATGGATTTGAACTGCAACACAATTTGGTCTGGTTACACACTTGTTGCCACTAAGCCACCAGAGCATAGTCATTAAAAATTCTTCAGTGACTGGGATAATTGGGATGGGAGTGTCAGAGACAGTACAATTGGCACAGGGCAGAGCAGAGTTTAGGGCTGTTGTACATAGGGTCGCTATGAGTCGCAAGCGACTCAACGGCACATAACAACCACAATGAATATATGATGGTATATGAGGAAAAGCTCATGTCATAACATTAAGTGACAAAATACTATTACAAAATTATAAAAACAGTATGATTTATAAGGATAAGTTTATGTCAGCTGATTTTCTTCATCCTGAATTTTCTATGATAAGCAGCATCATGATAGACAATGAAGAGATTGAGATTGTTAATAGCTTCAGCATGCTTGGCTCCACAGTCAATATTCTTGGTACCAGCAGCGAGGAAATAAAAAGACAAATTTCATTAGGAAAATCTGCTGCTTAGGACCTCTCCAGAGTACTGAAGAGCAATGATGTCAGTTTACAGACTAAGGTGTACCTTATCCAAGCCATGGCCTTTGCAATTGCTTGCTATGCATCAGAAAGCTGGACAATGACTAAAGATAATTGAAGGAGAATTGATGCCTTTGAGTTGTGGTGCTGCAGAAGAAAATTGAATCCATCATGGACTACTAAGAGAACAAACAGGCCTGTTCTGGAGAGAGTGAAACCAGGTTGCTCCTTGGAGTTAAAGATTTTGAAGATTCATCTGATATACTTTGAGCATGTTGCTAGGAGGGACCAGTCCTTATGAAGGGCATCATGCTTGAAAGTGTGGAGGGATAGTATAAGAGAAGAAGACCCTGGATGAGATTGGTTGACACAGTGACTGGGTAATGGACATCAGTGTGTCAGAGACAATGAAATTGGCTCAGGATAGAGCAGGGTACAGAGTTGTTGTACATAGAGTCGCTATGAGTCAGAGTTGACTTGACGGCACATAACATCAACAAGCATGTATCACTGTCACAATATAAAGATTAAATTTTTATTTCAGTATTGGGGTAATGGGAGTAGGTGTGTCAGAGACAGTGAAGTTGGCACAGGATAGATCAGAGTTTAGGGCTCTTTTACATAGGGTTGCTATGAGTCACAAGTGACTTGATGGCACATAACAACATGCATGAAACTCTAAGAAGCTTACTTTCCAAAATATATTTTAAATATTAAAAAAACTCAAATTTTTTAGAGATCCTCTCCCTATATTCTCATTCTCTCTATATTCAGTTGAACCTCAGCCTCTAAGGAACTCTGGGATTTTTCCAACTCTATATGGTATACTTTTGTACGTCAAGAGAACTATATTCTATTAAGAAGATCTTCTAACCTTCTTGTCCCAAAATGTTGAACCTAGATGGAGGGAGCCTTTGGACACAATCTTGTCTCTAAGCAGAAAGAATAACTGGCACAGATTTGGTTCTCTAGGAAGCAGCTAAGGTCTAGTACACAGGATGTTTATTTGAGATCAATACCTATGCAAAGAAGAAAAAGGTAGATTAGGACAGAGGGAGAAATCAAGCTGTGATGTAGATGTGACACCCTGGAGCTAAAAATTATGAGTTGTCTCACACAAGAGTGATGTGACCTTTCTAGTTTTGTCTCAGTCACTCACTGGATGTGACTCATTTTAGGGAAGTTTGTGACATTAAGTGAAATGCTCTCAGAACCTGGAGAGGCTGAGAGCTGTCTGCAGATAGTAATACCTACATCTGGTACAACCAGTCTTTCTCTAACGAGGGATCTGAGTGACATATTGGATGATCATCATAACTATACTTGCTCATCCAGGGACACTTTGAGTTATGTAATCTATTGAGGGGCCCTTTCACAGAGGAGTAAAGGGATTGAGATACTACTTCCTATTAAATAAACAAGTGTATCCAAGGTGTATAGCCCTAATTTTCTGGTACCTCAGGACTGTAAGGTATGCTCATCAAACATTGTTATAGTGAAAGATCAAATGTCTGACATTAGAGAAATAGGCAAATAAATTAATTTCTAACAATAAGCATGAAATAGTCACTAATCAAGTTTGGAACGAGGAAAAGTGTATATATATATATATATACACATACACATTTTTTTAAGCAAAATAGCAGACACTATAAAAATACGAAACAACACAAATATGTATATATAGTTTTTACACATACATGTCTGTCAAACTTGGAATATGATCATATGGAATTCATAAACAGTGGGTAAATGTGTTAATAAATATGTTGGGATTAACTGGGTCACATAAAGGAAAAGTAAAAAATTATATTTTAATACAACTCTAGCCCTATCTCACATCATACTCCAAAAACAATTCCAAAGAATGTGAAAGCAAAATGGTTGAGGAAAAACACAAAGACTGATTGCATGTGAATGAAGGACAGTGTGAGACACAATGCATATGAACTATGCAAGCAAACCAAGGTACTAAAGAACCAAGAAGCCAAAGAAAAGGGAAGAAATAAAGAAATTTAGGAGCTAAACCAAAGTATTTCAAATGGCAGCACAAGAAGACAAAGCAAAGTATTATAATGAAATATGCAAAGAACTGGAGTCAGAAAATCAAAAGGGCCAAACTCGCTCAGCATTTCTTAAGCTCAAGAACCTGAGGAATAAATTCAAGTCTCAAGTTGCAATGCTTAAGGATGCTACAGGCAGAATATTGAATGATCCAGGAAGCATTAAAAGAATATGGAAGGAGTATACATAGAGTCACTGTACCAAAAGGAATTGGA